ATATGGCAGGCATCTAGACACAGGATTAGCAAACTTTCTGTAAAGGAATAGAAAGTAGAAACTTAATGCTGTTTCTGTTGTTGAAACTTAATGATGGTTTCTGTTGTCACTACCCAACTATTTTCTTGCAGCATGTTAGCAGTCTTAGACATTATGTAGGCAAATGTGTGTAGCTGTGTTCCAGCAAAACTTCATTTACACAACAGTAGACCAGTAGTTTAGGAACACTGATCTACATTTACCTGACAATGTGGTTCTCAATTTAAGAACAGGAGTACTACACATTTTTTAAAAAATTAATAATTTGAAGTTAGAATATTTTAGAACTCTTTAAGAAGTAGAAATGTAAAAGCTTATTTTACTTTTTTAGGTAGATAAACTATATGCTACCTAATTTCTAGAGAGTGCCACAAAGTTGAAAAGTAAGGGTATTAGGAATACAGTAAAAGTGAATGAATGAATTGAAAACTAGGTGTTTGTGATCAGAGAATGGACTTTGAACATAAGACTTCTGCATTTTAGAACAGTTCTAGATTGTGAAGAAGTCTAGAGTGTTTAATGGAAATGCTTTGCTCAAGTGGCATGAAGGTAAAGGCTCTTTGAATTTAAAACATCAGGTACCTAAAAAGACAAAATTATTCTTTACTGGCTGTAAAAGTATGAGGGCCTTTTCCCTTTTATTTTGGTGATGAGAAGAAATTTTCCATTCGTTTGCCTTGATTGTTGGCAACCTTCCATGCTTATAGTAGACTGGAATTGCTAAAGTTTTCTCCTTTGCAATAAGGCAGGCTCTAGGGTAGAGTCTTTAGTGTTAGGGAAGTGGAATGTGGGTAGGGAGGGAATTCAGAGGCTCTGATGAATAGAATTTCTTTAAGTCTACACAGTTCTGCCATTGAAGTTGAATAGAATGGAAGATGGTGTGTAGTTTTCAGTATTCCTGTTGTGTAGATTAGTGGGGAGGCATATGAGTTTCACATCACTTCTTAAAGGAAGAGGTAGAAGGTTATTGTGGTAGCTCCAAGAGTGCATGTTTCTTTGGAGGAAGGGAAGAATTTTTTAAACTGAGGGTAGGGAGATGAAGATTAAAGGGTGGGGCTGGGCAGTTGAAGGAAGAATGATAGAGAAATAGACTCTAGGGTCAGAAATGTTGGTGGAGTATGCATTAGGGACATTGTGATTGTTTTCACACTCTGATGCTGGGGGATGTGTTTTTGTGGCAAAAGAGAAAGGAGGTGATTTCCTTATAGACAGTTTGGGAGATATATTCCCAGCTAGGAATACAGTGTATTAACTTATAGGTGATAAATGGATAGCAGGGCTGCCCATTCTTATATTTTAAAATTTTATTTCCTTATGAAAAGAGCCATATATTTCTGGACTATGCATTAAGGTGTTGTTTGAGTATGTTATACTTCTATTCATGCTTTGTAGGTGAAATTGAAATGGAGGTAACTGGGTAGAATCATGGAATATATTTAAAATTAAAATATAAGTCCCTGAGGCACAAAACTCTTATCATGTAGTCTGAAGTTTCGTTAGTACTTTAAATTAAGCCTTTATATTTGTTGTATTAGGTTCAGAACTTGATTTTGGAAGTTTTTATAGTTTAATTACAGCTGTATTTTGATTTTAAAGGTTTATTACAACTGCAAGTTAGAAGTGGGAGAAGGATTTGTTAGTGAATCCTACTGAGTAAATTTTATAAAGTATTTATTTTATTACCTTTTTGTAAAAATGGAAATAATGTATGAGTGTGAGGTTGTGATAATGACATTTATAAATCATTATTAATGTTCTCTATGGGTTGAGGCATCACTTTTCTTATTTCCTTTAACTTATATCTGTAGTTTTCCTGTAGTTCTTCAAACATAAAGTTTTTGTTTACCGAAGTCTAGAGATAGTTTTTCTTAGTTTCTCCTGTGATTTGGGTGATAACCCATTATTTCTCTGCATGCTTTGTAAGTTTTTATCTTTGGTCAGATATAAGACATTTGATTATTATAATGTGATAACTGTAGAAATCATTGATCTCTTTAAGGTTTGTTTTTATTATATGTGTGGGTCGTTGTTTGTTTAGTGGCTTTTCTTAACTATTTTGTAATGATTGTATGTTTTTATTGTCTGTGGTCTCATTAGTCTCCATTCCTTTAGCTTGTGGTCAACTACTATTTTGAAAGAGATTTCCCAGATTGCCCTGAGCTAAGAAATGTGAATACCATCTCAGTCTTTATAGATTGGCTCTATGTAGTGACAGTCCTTGAATACTTAGCCAGGTTGTTTATACCTCTGTCTTAGCTCTCATTTCCTGTTGGTTCTGAGCACACAGACTACCTTGGATGTGGACATTGATTCCTAAATTTCCCTGTATAAACCCATGCAGGACTTTCTATGTTTTGAGGAATCTCTTTCCTCAGTTTTTCCTCCTGGGCTTTTGACTGTAGTTTACTTCAGCAGTAATCTTTGGCCTTGGGAAGAAGTGGGCTGTGTATTTGCCTTTCATTGATTGTGAGGAATGAATTCTGCCTAACTGCTTTTCCACCCTTGCCATTCCTTGTTGGGCAAGGTAGGCCCTTCTGACTGAATCAGCAAATTAAATATAAAGAATATAAGGTACATTTAAATTACTCAGGGGATTAGTAAAATTAATTTTGTGCATTTCTTTTTTGAATTTACCTGAATAATTGTTCTATCCATCTCCATTTTCATAAAGACTGTCAGAAAGACTTGGATTGCTCCATTTTTCTGAAAGAGTTGGATTGCTCTAGGTAGTTTCATCTTTAGACATTATCCATTGTTCTACAGGATGATTTGACGTTCCCCAAATATATCATTTATGAATCTTTAAATTTTTACATATATTGCTGTCAAGCATTCTATTATATGTTATTCTATATATTCTTGGATTAAGTTTAGTAGTTTGGTAAGAATTTTTTTGTATTAGAGGTGCTCAGGGATTTAGCTCAGTGGTTCTGCCACCTGCCTTGCAAACACAAGGTCTGGAGTTCAATCTCTGGTACACACACACACACACACACACACACACACACACACACACACACATTTTTTTTTGTATGAGAGATATGTCTGATTTTTCATTTCTTGAAATATTCTTGTCAAAATTTGATTTGTTGAACATATCTTGGTTGCAATATGTACTTTTTTCTCTAGTCTCTGAAAGAGATTGTGTATCATTGGCATTACTTCTTACTTAAATATTTAAAAGATTTCACCAGTGAAAACACCTGAGCTTGTAGGTATTTTGTGTGTATTGTTTCAAATTATAGAGTCAAAGTCTGGGGATTTAGCTATGTGGTTCTGCCCCCTGCCTTGTAAGCATAAGATCCAGAGTTCAATACCTGATACCAAAAAAAAAAA